TTTTTAACTTTAGCCTGCATTTGGATCTTAATCAGCTACACTGGAGCTCTTAAGTATTTCTCAAATAATTAAAAAAACTTGACTTACAAAGCTCTGTAAGAACTAAAAGAAAAAGATGAAAATATAGATGTAAAGACACTGCCAAAGCATGTCAATAACAAAGTTAGTGAGTGCACTTCAGTATAGAAACAGTGCATACACCACAGCAACACTGAATTAATACAGAAAACCAGTATGACCTTGCACAACAAGCAACAACAAAGAAATTAATAAGGCAGCAAGTCTCGCAGATCCTCCTGTTCACTGACAGACTGATACAGACACATCCACCAAGCCCAGGCAGAAGTTCAAGACACAAGACTAAAAACCTGTGCAACCACTAGATCCAGTTTGCAAAGTAAGAGAATAGATACAATGGATCTTTTCCAAGCTAATTCCTTTTTACAAACACCAGCCTACTATAAACTCTGTTTTTCTTATAACTGCATACATAAAGGGGTCACCAAATGTTTACTTAACATCAGAATTGACTGATTACATGCTTTGCAAGACTGACAAACTACTGTGATAGAATAACAATTGCAGCCACCCACATTTTGATTTGGTCTCCCAAAAGCAAGCCAGCAGAAATGCTTAAAGATGCTATGTGCTTGCATATGGCACAGTACATATCTATGTACAGAATTCCAACACATCTATGTAACAAAATTCCAACTAATACTGTTGCTGTGTCGGGTTCAGGGAAGCCACATTTGTTTGTTTGACTTAAAGAAACCCATCAACCAAATTATTAAAATTGTAACTAGAACTTTATTGATTAACTGTTGCAGTTAACTGTTACTGAGTAACTGCTACAGTTATTTCAGGCTGTGAATAGACACTTTAGTGCATATCTACATTTGGGACAGTTCCACAGATACAGCTGCTTCCATCCACAGAAAACAAATATATATTTACTCTAAATGCACAGGCCCCTTTTAAATAAAGTAAACCTACAGAAGGTAAATAACCCTGCAGATCAGTTCTGCCAAAGGAAGTGTAAAGATGTGATTCACAGGTGTTACAGAAATACGGCGTACATCGTTTCAAATAAAAAATTTAAAAGACTTCTTTTAAGAGCTGTTTTCTCACCCTCTTCCTATGTCAACATCACCAAGATGGTAAATTATTTTGCAGAACTGATTTGGAAGCACAATATGGAAACCTTCACATTTTAGCAGAAAAATTTAAATGCTAACTTTTAAAGACATCACTCTCTGTGTGAAAAACAGTTTATTTAGAATTTTCTTTTCAGTATGTGGGCTGGACAGTTTCTACTACAGAATTTACAGAAGATTGCTAAAATAAATACTTTCCCACCATCCCTATCAGTGCAGAAACAAACATTCAGAAACTATAAGGAGGTTCCAAAACAGGATTAGTGTAAAAAGGTGAAGATAGAAACCACTCCTTTTGAGTTTGTGGTTGTTCTTGTAAGGGCTTTTCACATAGCTTGCTTACCACTACTCAGTCTTTAGCATTTGTGTTTTTCAGCCTTTTTCTGCTTTAAAGACTAGAACTGAATGGAAGCAAGTTTTTCACAACAAATCTAAATGCCCTGAAATTTGAAAAACCCATGGGAAATGTCAAGTAGCAAAGCCAGCAACTCCACAGCTCTTTCTCCAGCTCCATGTAAAAATATTAGCCAGATGCTGATATTGACGTGCTAGGGTGGTTCTCAACAAGTCTGTCTCTGCCTGGGGAGGGGCAGAAGCACTCCTTACCTGCCTTTGTAATCTGCCAGATTTCCATCTGTTCTGCACACCTAAGCCACCCAAGTCCATGAATGATTCAGCTTAGACAAGGGGGAGAGGAGAAACAGGAATCGTGTCCTTTTGTTGAGGAAGTCAGCTTATAACAATGAACTGTTTTCATTGTTTTGCTGTACAAATGCAAATAGTGCAGAGGGATAAGCAATCTGGCAGCTGGGGCTAAGTGACAACTGGATTTTAAGAGGTATGTGGTGGCAACATAAGCGCAGAGGGATAAGCAATCTGGCAGCTGGGGCTAAGTGACAACTGGTATGTGGTGGCAACATAAGATTACTTTCAATTTATATACCAATTTACTCACACAAAGGCTTGCTTGGAAAATTAGGACTTTTGCCTTTTAGAGGCAGTATAGTAGAGAACAATGCTCTTTGTCCATATTAATGGATTGAACTAATCTTAATCATACCAAAAAACTTGTATATCTGTCTGAAAAAGCTTTTAGAAGTGCCAAATAACTGAAGCTACATTACTGACTGCTGCTAACTAGAAATCTGATCTATAACATTGGAGAAACAAGTCCAAGTTTCAGTACACAGCATTACAAGACAAGAGGGGTCAGTATAATACATTTTTACAAGAAACTTGATTGCTTCCTTCAATTAAAATTGTTACTATGAGTATTTCCATATTCATAAATTGCCAATTTTCCCCCTCCAAAATTCCAGGTAAAAGAGTGATACCCATTTGTGCATCGTGAAAATACTACTACTCTTGCTATTCACAGTGACAACTGGATTGCAAAAAACAAGAGCCTGGTTCAGAAATGTGGTCAAGAGCAGCAATCACTCCAACCAACTCATGCCACTCAAAAGTGATGCAGCTAGCATAACTTCATGTTCCTTTAATATTCAAGAAATACAGATCAACTATGATGAACTGGCTCTTTGAAAACCATAAAACACCTCACAAATTCATTACCGTTACCTACATATACATGTACATAAAATGAAAGAGGTAGAATATTCATGTTTTGAAACATGTAGAATAAGCTAGTTCCCTTATGGCCTAGATGTTTCCATTCATTATACAAGGATGCACATACTTGTGACATTAAACTAGGTGCTTCAATAACATAACTAAACACCCCAAGTTTTTTAGGCCACAGTCCTAATAAAACAGTCCAGTTCATAGTATCACAAACAACATTATAAAAATGGTTTACAAACAGCTGCATAAACCTAGTCCACTTTGCTTTGTGAGTGAAACTGGAACCCTCCTAGAGAACTTTGCAGTACTTCTACACAACACTTTCACACAGTTAGTTAACTGCACAGGAAAGCTCAAAAATACACAAGTCCTATTATATTTTGTAAGTGCATCAACTCCTCTAATTTCTACCAAATTCACTTCAACTAAATGTCACAGCATATACTGCAGTCAAGACAGCCACAACACAGAGAGCATCACCATACAACATCATAATGCTTCAACCCATACACAGCAATACCATGCCACTTCAGAAGGCTGCAAGCATCTGTCCCTCTTGTTCTTTAGCCCAGCCTTTTATACCCCTCATGTTCACGCACTGCACCTGTGTGCCCTCTGTTCCCTTTGGTGATTGCTCAGTGCACCTGGGCACTCCATGGCTCATTACCTTCAATGCTGCTCACCTGCTTTTCACAGCCGTACCCACTGGGGATGAGGCTCGGCCGCAGCCCCACTCCCAATTACCACAAACTGTGTGCCTACAACTAAATCCTCTTGGTCTTCCTGAGGGCTTCCCATAAGCATTTCATAAGCTGTTTTCCCTCACTGGCCTGTTTCCATTTGCGTGTTCCCCTCCAATGCTACTCTAGCAACACAAATTTCTTTCCAAATACCTTTCAAGCGTGGCAGGGTAGTGCACCACACAATAAAGGAGACATTAGGATAGCCATTTTTTACTTTTCTGTGTAAAAGGTTAGAGAATTTTAAAGCACTTTTGAAGAACCACATGACACCATTTTTCCTGTCCTTTGACAGTCTGACACACTTGAATGCATCTCAGGATGAAATAGTAACAGCAGGCTCACCTGGGTATCAATTAGCTGTCAGTGGAAGGTTGGAAGAACATCTACCTGCACTATGACAGAATCACACCAATGCCTTCAACCACATTTCAAGTGATCACTGTCATGCCAGCCAGAAAGATATGTGGAAACTACTATTTAATTTATATTTTCTTCAATATGCAGAAAGAAAAAATGGTAGTGCATATTTTATGTAGGTACAAAAAGAGGCTATAAGATGAAGTTTGGTTTTAAAACTCAGGATTTATAGCAATATGTCTTTTTGCAAGCTACTGCTAGTAGCTGGTCAGAGTGCAGCAATTCATTACAAAGAACAGAAACACAAACATGCTCTTCCCCTGTTCCTCCAGTGTGCCAGGCAAAATAATTACATTTCATAGCATTTTTGGTTTGGGCTCCTGTCAGGGTTCACGTGAGTCTTCTTCATGCACTGTGAACCAGCGATAACCTCATTTCAGTGAACTCCATGAGCTACTGGGGGAAGCTGATCAAAGCTGATTGCTGGACATTATTTAAGATAATCTATCATCTAGGCCATTTTGGCAGGTCAGGCTGTCACCAAATGCATAACTAAGACACACAGATTTGCTTCTTCATAAATTATCTTATTCCAGATTCATATATCACTTGACTCTGTTTAAAGTAAGCAGCAGAAAATTATTTTTAGAATTTTTCTTATGAATGTCATAAATACTTCTCTTCAATATTTAGGGTTTTTTCCAACATGTTACTGCTGTGTCATAAAAGTGAAAACACCTCATATAATTACAACATTCTGGTCATTACTTTACTTGAAATGGAAAAATACCAAATATTAGAATAATTTAAAAAGCATATAAACTCCTGTCCCTCATCTTTGACATCTTTTCTACCTACATAATGGTTAGTATTCTTCCAAAAGCTAAAGAATTTGCAAGTTTCCTCTGGAAATTAGTACTACTAAATATGATCATTTCATTACAGTCATTTCAGCTGGTATTGTTACCATCATTGACTAACAAGGTAAGATGAAGTGCAACTTGCTTATTGACTCAATGGCAGAGAACAAAATGTGTTCATTTTAACTTGAGCTAATACAGATTTGAGGATACCAGCACACACCTCTTCTAATACTTTTATTGCAGAGACCCTTGGAGATTCCATTCATGAAAGAGTAAGATAAAATATTGGAAGTCCCTACCTTCACCTGACGATCCTGAAAGGTCTATGATGACATACACTCTCCCTTCTGGCTCCAAGTCAATCTGTAAGCAAGAAGACAAAAAGAAAAAAAAAAAATCAAACTTAGAATGACTCCCAAAGCAAGCAACTGCACATGCAGGAAACAAGAAGTTTCCAAACCTCACAAAGTCAAGGTGAGTCACATTCTATACCAATAGAGCCTCCTTTTGCAAAGAGGTGTTAAGGACCCTGCACCTTCACTGGAATAAAAAAGAAGTGTGAACACTTGGAAAGTTTGAGCTCAGTGAATTTTACATTTCAAATATTTAACGTACTGTTCTGACATACATTTGCGCCACTGTTTTCAAGAAAGTCAAAAAGTGCCACAATTTAGCAACTTTTTTACTGTTCCTTATACTGAGCCCAGATATACAAATGTGGAAAACAACACTGTGACAGCAAGACAGATCAGCTCTGGTCACAGAATGGGGGAAATGAACACACACAGATCATACAGCTGGTTAACACGTGTTTATAATACCCCTTTTGTGTCCCCACTGGGAGAAAGAAATACAGGCTTTATCCTCTTTTTCTGAAACACAAAATTTGTTTATTTCTGCACTATTCTGGTGGATTTTAAGGAGTCTTTACCCATGAGGAGATCACTTTCACTCAGCATGAAACACAGGTGCTCAGTATCAAGCTCCTGTACTTCCAAGATTTCATAGGCTATGAGAATAAGCTCCGGTTTAGGCTCCACAATGAAGAGCTTATTACAGATCTTCCTGTATTTTTTCACAAGTTGCATCAGCAAATCTAAGTATTGCTGGATTTGAGTATCTTAATGGTACACAAAAAATTAAAAATTATTTTTGCTGCCACACATCTCTGAAAAATAAAACCGTAACTAAAATATTATGTAATCAGTAGCTTCTGCTGTAACACAGCAGTTACTGTCACATGATTTCAGAGCCTGAGTGATGTGACGTTCTGCACGTTAATACTGTATTTTCAACCTGTTTTAGCAGGAAAACCACACAGGTAAGATTGCAAGGGACCTTGTGTGCCAGGTAAGATTGCAAGGGACCTTGTGTGCCAGGACCTGTCCTGTGTCACACCATTCCGGACTCCTGTGGTGGTCAAGGAGGCACCAGGGCAGCCCCAGCCCATCCATCAGACCCATTGCTGGGGATGGGGGCAGGCCAGGACCACAGCCAGGCAGGGATGTGTGCTCTGCTCTCCCTGCTCCCTGGGCAGCCTCCTCGCCCAAAGCAGGGGAAGGTGGCCTTGCCTCTCCTGTGCCAGCAAGTGACACCGAGCTGACCCTCTCCTGCCACAGGGGACATCAGGGCACAGCGCGAGGCCAGCGGGAGGTAGAAGCAGGAGATCACCGATCCACACTATTACCAGGTGGATTTAACCCGATGGTCATCACAAATTAGCCAGTAAATAAGGGGACACCAGAAGAGCCCAGCTATGCCAGGCTTTGCCAGCCTAGGTTTAAGTGGGCAGCCCCGTGGGGACACCTCTTTTACCTCCAGCTTTCTCTCATCACCTGAGAGGACTTTACAGGAGAGGCTTTTCCCTCTCTTTCAGGACATGGTTGCTGAATGCATCAGGATGATGCAAGCCCCTCCTTCCACTGACCACTGTCCTTCAAGAGAGGGCCGGGAGAAGAGTTCACAGGTCCTGCCGATGTCATCGGACCAACGGATCAAGAAAATTATCTCAGCAGCTGTATTGTAAATAGACCAGGCAGGAAATAATGTTAGCAAGGCCAGGGGTTACTCAAGGGAGAAGAAAATGAAAGTGTGGGTGTCTGTTTTTTTTATAAATAATAGTGTTGAATATCCAAAAAAGACATTTTTAACAATTCCTGAATTGCCAGCATGAGTTTTGTGAGGGAGTTTTTGGGGAGTTTTTTGCCTTTTTGTGTTTTGTTTCAAATAAAGCTGCTGATCTTGAAATACTGCTCCTCTCCCTTTGCCAGTTTTAAATAAGAAAAATATTAGAAGATCAGAAGCACAGGTGCATGAATAGACTTTGATGTGTATGCTGAGGAAGGCTTTTGAAAAACTGCTGTAGCACTCAACAGATGGCTGTATTAAAGACAGACATGTCTAATGCTCTGTTTGTATCAGCACTATACACTGTTTGGTTAAGATTTCAGTAAAATACTTTGTGCAGTTCAAATCCCAGTGTGCACGCACGCTCATAAACCCCCAACATCAGCCCCACAGAAGAATCAGGCATCTGGACAAGTTACTGAGCATCACAAAATCTCTGTTCTGCCCCTTTAACTACAAACAGCATTGGAAGCAACTCGGGAAAAAGACTGGAGGCCTGAAACCAAGTTTCCATTACCCAGCAAGTGGACTGTTTCAATTTACATTTTATTAGAAATGATGCTTAGTGATTTTGAATTGGAAATTTTGCTGATGGTCTAACAAAAATGAACTATTTATAAAAGACAGTCTCTTTTACAAAGAAATCATGTTTCAGTCTTCATACGTTCAAATGCCAGTAAAAATGAAATGAACATATTCTTATTTTTAGATTTATGAAATACCCACATTTCATTTCAGTGACACTGACAGTCTTACCAGTCACATGAATTAGTACTTTTGCCAGAAGCCAGCAGCTCAGCTGTCTCAGCTGACCCTACATATGAAATGAACACCCCAACAAATGAAAAATCCCTTAGACTTATAGGAACCCTTCTCTTCTTAGGTCTTTCACGTATCAAGCCAAACAGAGGAAAAAAGGACCGATTCAGACTTAATTATTCATTAAAAAATGTCTAATTTAATGCCTAGAAATATAATGGCATAAATACCTCCAAAATAGACTACTAGAATATGCATGCTTTTTCTTTTCAATCTGTGCATTAAGATGTGTTTAGATTCTGCAGTGTCATTTTATAAATAAGTACCAAAAGATGCATACAACAAAATCTAAAGTTCCCATGCATTTTTCACCAAATGCCACGAAAGCTATTGCATGTGAAATGCCCTTAGACATATGTAACCAGAAACAGGACTGGCCAAATTCAGCTGAATAAAACAGGCATCCTTGAAGGCAATGGAAATAGTTTGATCACAGCAGTTCTGATTCCGACCCTTCTCTTTGACTAAAAATACTTCTCTCTGAAAGCAGCCTAGCTTTTATATGTGCAGAGAAAACTTATGAGGAGACATCTAAAACAGGCATTACTGTTCAAAAGGAAACAGGCAACAAGGCAAGATGCAAACTAGCCATGGGACAGAGGAGTTGATACAAGAGCAGCTTTGCTGAAAGCAAAACACATTGCAAAATATGTGCCTTGCACACATACATCACATTTGCCACATGCAGCAAAAGATGTAACAACTATGACTGAGCAAAATCTTTGATCACCAAAACATTTTACCCTCTTACTGACCCATGCTATTGCTGTGACTTTTGTTGAAATACAGTTTTAGCACGTGCAAGTAGCATTAATTAGAAAGGTAATTTAAATAACTTCTATATTGCTCAAATAACAACATGTGGCAGCATATCGAGATGAGTACAATCATTGCTGGAAAGCAGCACAGATAATCAAAAACTCCAGGCCCGAATAAAACCTATTGGTAGCCTGTTTCAGGGAACAAAAGGCAACCATCCATAAAACCAGACATACTTTCAGAGCAAAAAACCCATGTTGAAACCAAGGCCAAGCTTCAGCATATTGAAGGCATTTATACAATTTCACAGTCATTAATGGATTTTATTTTCAACACCCTTCTGAGACAGTTCCCCATATGCAAAACGGGATACTCCCAAAGGCACAAGCTAGACTAAATGACTTTCTGGCAAGTAATACAAGAAGCATATGCTAAACAAGAACTGAACTCTGGCCTCTGGAGGCCCAGACTGCCCACTGGACCATTCCTCCTATTCCTCAGTTAGGCTTCACTTTGTCACTTTGCAGTATCTAACACTACCAAGATCTTTTTTCCCCTCTTTTTTTAGACAGCCTTAATGGGTACATATCTAGGATGCAATTTCTTTTCTTTTTCATTCAGACAATACTTATCAGTAAAAACAATACCAAACAAAGTATGTTAAAATATTTCTCTGCAGCATTTTCAATGGATCATAAATCTTTGGTAACCTGGAGTAATGAAAAATTTAATCAAACTATGCAGAAGATTGTGAAAATGGTCCAGCTTTTCCTCAAGGTTTGTTTTTGCAAGTTTTTAACTCCTTAGTGTTCTGAAAAACTGAGCCCTAAACTCAGCTAGAAGTTCACCATTTTCTTCCTCTCAGGTGCAAGACATTATTTCCCACACCTAAAAACATAAAACTTGGAGGGAATTCTCTTAGATCAAGATTTTCCAAGGAAAGCAAACACTCTCTCTAATCTTAAAAGGATGAGGAAGATTAGAATATGCTATGGAATCACTTGTGTTGCACTGATGCTTCATATTTGAATATGAATAATATTTTATGTACAGCCTGAATAATTCCATCAGCATTTGGGGGTGTTCTTTCAATTCCATTTGACATCACCAGCACAGATTTTGTATGCTTTATGGCACAAACTGAGAGCTGTTGTAAGCAAATGACAAACCACTGTCTTCAGTGGCTCAGTGCCCCACTGCCACAGGGTTTCCTTGGATCACAACAGAGTCCATCAGCCACCTATGTTCCAACACAAGGATGTCACCTGAGATTTAGTGCACTGTATCCATTAAAAAGCCAACTTGCCTCAAGAGAAATTTAAGGACAGTTATTGACATAAATCCAGATCTGAAAGAAGAAATGAGTGAACAAATGCAAAATTTGAAATTCCTAAAAGCAGAAAGGTTGAGTAAGCTTTACTCTGGTCTCCCTTAGCTAGAGAGTATATGAAACACAGCAAAACCCCTTCAAACCTAAAGCTGTTGAGAATTTTGGCAACAGTATAAACCTAAATGGATTGTATAAGCCACAGAAAGAATTAAATCATAAAACCTGCTTTGCACCTCTTCTTGTGATGTTCTAGGATTATCTGATATTTGGGTAGCTTAAAGCATAAACCCCCAAGCACATGATCTGTGACTGCAGATGGTTATTTGAT